TACTCGTTGCTGCAGGGACTGTAAATTGGCCAATTACTTGGGAAACCACTTGGCAATATCTGCTATAGCTAAACATGTCCAGCAGCTCTGCTCTTGGGAATATACCCAACAGAAATGAGGGCTGTGTCTACCAAACACATACTAAAACATATAGACAAGAACGTGCATAGCAGTTTTATTCCTAACAGCCCCAAACTGGATTCCACCGAACGTCCATCACAGGAGAGTGGACTAGATTGAGACATAGTTCATACAACTTCACTCTCTTCAGCAATACAAGAAAGAAAGCAGCACACATGATCAGGAATGAATTTTCCATAGTGCTGGGTGAAGTGAGGCCAGACCTCAGAGTCCATACAGTTGAGCCCGTTTAAATGAAGTTATAAAACAGGCAGCACTGATCTCTGGTGAAAGAAGTCAGGACAGCTGCTCCTTTGCAAGTCTGCGAAGTATTTACTGGGAGGAGGTGCTGGAAATATTCTGTAACTTGAGGTGGGAGGTAGTTACGTGGAAGTATGGAGGTATAGGTATGTGTATATATGTGAGAGTCCGTCTGCTTGTGCACTTAAGGTGGTGCACTTATGAAGGTATACAAGTTATACTTCAATACAAATGTAAACAAAAGAAAGAAAAAGAAAGAAAGGACAAAAGGGACGAGTGAAAGGAAGATTGGCAAGACTCTGCCCTCTCAAATGCAAAATGGCTAAGCTCTTCTGGAAAACAGGTATTTTATTAAAAAGTTAAAGGTTCACTGACTAGGTGACTCCACAATCCACCTGGAGATATTTATCCTAGAAAAAATGAAAATTGATTTGACACTAAAACCTGTGTGTATACATATTTACACCAGCATTATTCATACTTGCCCCAAACTGGAAACAAGTCAAATGTCTTTTAAATAACTGTTACACCTGTGCCCTGGAACACTACCCAGCACTGCGGGAGAGGGGACCACTGACACGGGCAACAGCATGGGTGAATCTCAGACGCATTATGCTGAGTGAAAACGCAATCTCTGTGATTTTGTCTTTATGATATTCTGGAAAAGACAATATAGGAACAGTAAAAAAAATCAATGGTTGCCAGGGTTAGGGATGGAAGGGGGAAAGGTCTAGATGTGAAGGGATAGCATGAGAGAAATCTTTGGGGTGTTGGAATTATTCTGTATCTCACCTGAGGTGGTGGTTCCAGAATCTATATGTATGTAAAATGTGTACACCGTATACCAAAAAGGTCAGTTTTACTATATGGAAATAAAAATATTTTTAATAAAAACAAACAGAAGTGGGGGCTCCTGTAGCTCAGTGGTTAGGGCACCAGCCACATGCTCCAGGGCTGCTAAACAAAAAAAA